CCCCAAAACCCCAAAACCCCAAAACCCCAAAACCCCGTAATAAAAAGTAAGTCTGATTATAATTTATGAAATTAAGATTATTTCCATCATAAAAATATCATTATGGTTACCATGGATAGTATTATTATTTTTGAAAAGACAAGATAAGTTCCCTCAAGAACATTAACAACTAGTACGCTACAATCCTAACCAAAGTAATTTTAATTGCATTTACATACGCCATTTTCGCATTATCCTCTTCCAGTACATTCATTCAAACAAAATTTATAGCTGCAGTCATCACCTCCTCTTAATTACCATTCATGACAACGGCAATATCCCATAGGAAAATCTTGTATACAATCACCATATATCTGAGTAGCAGTATTAGAGCAATTATTAATACACCCTCTTAGACTACAATCTGGCCCAAAATAGTCCTCATTGCAAACACAAGTTCCATTTTAGCACTTACCATTAGAACTACAATGATAGCATTGTTGTGGGTCAATTGTATCAATATCTACAAAGCACAAAGAGTTTGGACAATTTTTTAGTTCACATCCACTACTGTGATATCCATTTTTGCATGTACATCTACCTAATGCACATAATCCATTGTCACTACAATTTAGATAGCAATCTTTAGTTGATAAAAAATACACATCTTCTCCCATTGTTATATGTCTTTCTGTATCAGGAAAAGGTGGATAGATCTTTATATTAAAACAAACATTGTTTGTTTTCCTAAATTGATCTACCCATCTTTCATTTCCCATATCATCTATAGTAAGTTCAGCATATTTTTCTCCTATAGATTAAGAATTTTCTTATTCTATTCCAGTTCTTTGAGCTAGTACAGTTCTACATCTTTCCAAAAACTTTTCCTTTTATTCTTCAATCGTATCTGTCTCATCTAAGTTAGTAGAAATCCATGATGCTCCTCCATAAATAACAATGCCAGACTTTGTAGCTACCATCACATGGCCTTTATAGCCATCTGGACTATCAGCAAGAGTAGAATTAATGCAATCAGAGCAGTTTGTGCATGTTACACAATCTTAATATCTTCCTTAGACACACGTAGCACAGTAATCACAAGTTAGGTTAGTATAGACATTGGGACCAAGTGGTGAAGTACAATTATAGCAGTCTTCACAGTTTTACCTTTTAAAAATTTTCCAATCACATCTCGTACAGTTTCAGCAGGCTGAGCAATTTTTATTTACCACCACTAAGTCATTAACTACATTCAATTTAGCCCACATGTTGGTGTTCAAGTTGTATTACCAGACATCTTTGTATAATTTTTCTCCATATTAGCCTCCATAAAGAAGTACTAGTCTATCTGCCTTAACTGTAACAAGAGTAGAGAACTCTCGTTCTTATGGATTATCATCAGAATTAGGGAAAACTTAGTTCCACAAAGAATTTTTTACATAGAATACCCACATATCTTTCAGAGTCTTCTTAATTGAGAAGGAAGAATTAGACTTTTAAAAATCACTGCTAACATCTTCAGAACTAATTACTTCAGCTGTAGATCCTCCAAATACCATTATATATTCTAAAGGATTTCCCACGAGTGTCATTGCATGACCTCCTCTGGCAGAAGGAATTTGAATGTTAAATCTCTTTATGTCATTAACATTATTAGCCTATCTTGTTTAGATATTCGTGTTATATTTATCATCTTATGTTAATTCATCTGTAGTAATTGGCTAATTGATAGCAGAGTTATTCCAGAGATAAATCTAAATTTCAAAATAAATTATTAAAAAGTTTACCTGCCTAGTAATTCCTGAGATTCCATATTATTCAACTTACTCCCACTAGTTAGATATAAGGTTAAACTTCCACATATCCTGTCTGTACATATATCCTGTCGGCTAAGAATATGCAACTTTCTCAATCGAATTCAAAGTCTTTAAGATAATTGTAAGCTAAAATGGGAAATTACCTGAATTCCTCCAAACAGGTACAAGAAATGCTCTTCTACAAGATTGTAATCATCTTTGAATTTTTAATAGGATATCATATTATGTCTAAATCTTTTGCCAGGATTGTTAGATCCTTCTTATGATAATTTTGTCCTAAAAAATATTATACTTGATTTATGATTTACCAGAAATTTCCAGCATCAATCCAATCAGATTTTGCAGAGGGATAAAAGGCATATGGACCAATGGCTATCTCATATCTCCAAGTATCATTACATGCACTTGTACATTCGAATGAAAATCCACCATAGATATAGAGGAATTGTCTTCTAAGGAGAGTACCATTAATTGTATCTAGGATCGTATACTAATCATCAAGCTAGACGAAAACTCCAGCATGGCCGAATCTAGCAGAGGGGATTTGTAAATTTTATTATAAATCTCTAAAAAATACAGTATAAATCTAATTACCTATTATAGTCATATTTTATGGGTGTCCATAAATCTCTTTGAACATAATATCTCCACATATCATTAAGAAGCTCCTCTCCACAGTTCTTAAAAATATCTTCAAAGGTGGCATTTCCAACAATAGCCGAATAGTCTATAACAATACATACATTCTAAAGCTTACCTTCACAATAATCAAATAGATTGGTTTTATTAACTCCTATTGATTTATTCCTCACAGCAACTCCCCCATGAATTAATATCATTTATTCCCCAGGTATATATGGATAACCTGTATTGTCCAGTCTTTTTCTGCAGTTTTCATCTAATTTAGGGCAACAATTCCCTGGGCATTTATCTTTATCTATAACGCTATACCAAATCTTTTCTTTCTGCATGTTTTATGTGAATTTATAGAGGTAATCTTGATTCTCACTTGCGCAATTACCACAATCTTCAAATCTTGGGTCACATCTATAGGCGTGTAAATTTATATAAAAATTATAAAATCATTTTACTCTTCAACATAGAGCTCACAGTAAGACTAATTGACGCTTTAATAATATATAGCTACATGTCCTTGTCTCGGCAGTGGTATTTCAGTAAAGTTATAGCATGAGATATTACTAAATGAGCAAGTATAGTTTGGTGTCTATATAATTGTAATGTGTTAATTTTAACTTGATAGTTAAGGCTTTTAATCACTTTTTAGATTTGATAAAACTTACTTTATCAATGAATAGGTAGTCTCTTCTTTCCCAAGATGCAGCATTTAGCTGATTTTTGTAAATGAAAATTAATACTAGCATAGCTAGAAATAGATAATATTGATATTTTGTCATTTTTATTATTAAATTCCTAACAAATGTCAATTTATAAAATGAAAGGGGTTTTGGGGTTTTGGGG